TGTGTGTGGTTTGTGTGTGAGAGATATGTATGGGATTGTGATGTGTGTGGTATGTGTGTATGTGTGTGTGGTTTGTGTGTGTGTGTGGTATGTATGGGGTGTGTGATGTGTGTGGTTTGTATGTATGTGGTATGTATGAGGTGTGTGATGTGTATGGTTTGTTTGTGTGTGTGTGTGTGTGTGTGGTTTGTGTGTGTGAGAGATATGTATGGGATGTGTGATGTGTGTGGTATGTGTGTATGTGTGTGTGGCTTGTGTGTGTGATATGTATGGGGTGTGTAATGTGTGTGGTTTGTGTGTGTCTGTGGTTTGTATGTGTGTGGTATGTATGTGGTATATGATGTGTATAGTTTGGGGGGGCATGTATGTGATGTGTGTGGTTTGTGTTTGTGTTCTTGTATGTGTGAATGGACATGTGAAGGCCAGAAGTCAATGTGGGTATCTCCACCTTGTTTTTAGAGACAGTGTCATGTTCTGACCCTGACCTCACAAATTCTGCAAGACTAGCTGGCTTACAGGGCCCACAGATCCCCTGTCTCTGTCTATACTGTACTGGGGTTACCATGCCTCTATGCCTGACTTTTTCTTAGGTCCTGGGAATCTGAACTCTGGTCCTCATGCTTGCTCAGCAAGTCCTTTATTGCCTGAGCCGCCTCTCTAGCCCCACAGATGTCTCCTAAGAGACATCCCAAGTGTAGGTATCCTACTCGGTACTGTGGGTACAAGCGTGACCGATAGAAGCACAGCCTCCACTGAAACCATCGAGCAGGGAGACCGTGGTCAGGCATGCTTTCCCTGTTGCAGGATTGCTCCATGCTGAGTTCTCCCCAGGGAGGTCAAGGTGCAGAGAGAGGAGAAAGTCCAGCATCACATGCCCCATTTCCAGTCTGCTCATAGAGCAAGGGAAAGCATTATCTCCCTGTGGTGTCCATTTTTACTCTGATTTTTCTGCCCATGCCCCTCCCTTGTGATTTTTTAATATGAAATTTGTGTTTCTTGCTGAAAATTAGTCACATACAAAAGAGTAGAAAAGAAGAAAAATCATGTGACCTGATTGACACCCAAACCCACTACAACATGTAGCTGAGTTTTAGTCTCATCTTTTGTTCTTTTGCTTTTGTAAATCTATATAAATAAAATTACTGTTTACTTGTTCCTATAATGTGAGCATTTCCATATCATTAAATACACATCAACCATTGTTTGGGATGTCTGCACAGTTTAGCCAGTCGCCATTTTCTGGCACCGAGAATGCACGCCTAGGGCTCCACGTGCTCAGGCATGTGCCCCGCCACTGAGCAACACCACCAGCCTGGGTTTAATCTTTGACTGCTGGGTACCTTTCCTGTTTACAGTTTTCACTTTACAGCAATGTGGCCCTGAGCTTCTGCGTATACAAGAATGGTCCCTTATTTCACACCTCTAAGTTATCTGCAAACAGTGTGTCTGTGATATCTACCTGTAAAACAAAAGGATAAAAATGTCTGGTTCAGGGCAGAATATACCTGGATCACTATATTATAGCTGAACAAATCTGGAGATTAAGTCCTTCCCTGGGAACTAGCAGAGTGCAAGTCTCGCAGGTGGGGCATGAGCCAAGCAGTCCTGTCTTACTGTAGATTGCCCCAGACCTCCAGCTTGTCACTTCCCCTTAGGAGCCTCTCTTCCTCCAGCAGCTCAGCCCCAGCAACTGCCGTCACTCCTGTCTGCTGTGCGCCTCAAGTTCAAGTTCAGTGACCCACAGAGGTTTCACCTGCATGCAGATTGAAAGGCAGGCTCCTGGCCCCTGGCCCAGGCTGAGTCTGAACCTGTGGGGCGGAACCCAGCAATCTGCATTTTAAAGACATACCTCAAGGCAGTTCCAGGGCCCAGAGTGCTAGACCAGCCTGGCAGGAGGGTGCAGCGCCTCAGCCTTGAGGCTGAGCTTGTGGTGCTGCAAAGCAGCACCCTGCAGAGAGGTGTGGCCCATGCTGGGCCAGCTGCTCCTGTGTGGCCTTATTGAGTCTGCTTCCTGTAAAGGGTGATAGAGAAGAGCTCTCCAGAGAGTGGCTGTAAGGGCAGAACAAAGTGCTGCTTCCCACTAGTTCCATGTTCTGGACAGTTCTGCCACTCACCCCTGTCATTTTTCTCCATTACACCAAAGCCTGGAGCAGCATCATGGCTGCCACCTGGCTTGTAGCTGAGCTCACCAGTGTCCGTGTGCTCTGGCAGTGGCTTCCGAGAGGAGGCTCCTGCCTGGTATCTCCCTGTTCCTGGTCCTACCTGGCTACCAGAGCGAAGCTTCAGGGGTAGCATCTCAGTGGTAGAACTGTGTACTTGGTTGGAGGTCAACTTAAGGTAACTGGAAGGGAAGAGTCAGGCTGACATGGAGGAGAAGTGAGCCTGGAGAAAGTCCAGGACCCTGAGGGCTGAAGGAAGCCACTTGAACTTGCATTCCTGGTTTGATCAAGGTTGTGTAAAAATGGACCCCTAAGATCTTCAGATGGAAACGTAGGTTTTCGGTTTCACTTATTAGCTCAGCTATTTTGAGCTGCTAATAAACTTCGTCAAATCCATTGCTTATTCCCCTAGTGAGTTAAGTCTGTTCACAAACAATGCTGGGCCAGTGCTTGGTGGCACTGTATAGAAACTGGTTTTGTTAGAAACACACGACAGGCGGTTCAGCTGCAAAACATTTCCCAAGGGCTTCATTTTTGGTCTGTCTCAATCTTGCACTGAGCATGCTTTCAGGGTATCCTCCCAGCCAACCATGTCATCTGCTTTAAGTGTGGAGGAATTGTCTTTAATTGGTTCAGGAAGCAGCATCAAGCCCACACCACACACCCATGCTCCCTCCTGTCTCTGCCCAGCCCAAGCCCCCCAGACCCCCATTACAAAAGTGGCAGTCTCCTCGTGTCTTCACCATCCCTTCACTGCCGGTATCTCCGCATCAGGACTGACTGCGCACACGGTCTAACCAGCTGCAGAAGTCTCAGGGTGCTGAGGGATTGAGCGGGCGCCAGAATCCAGCAACACGCAAAACTGCACCTTTGAAACATGGCGGGTCAGGGTGCTTTGGACACGGAAAATAGAACCAAGCTTGAGCCACTTCATCCTAGGTCACACAAAGAAGCCATAGGAAAAGAGGGGGTGTAGGGGTGTAGAAAAGACATAAACTAGAAAATACTCAGGAATCCATATGAAGAAATAGAATCTGTCAGTGGTGGTGCTTGTCTGTCATCCTACACTTTGTTTACAGAGCAAGATCAGGAGTCTAGGGCCGCTTTGTACATGGCAAGTTTGAAGTCAATCTGTGCTATACTGGGTCCTATCTTAAGAAAAAAGAAGGAAGGAAGGAAAGAAGGAAGGACGGGAGGGGGAGGGAGGAAAAGAAAAAGAAAACAATCACAGCCTTAAGTAGATAAAAAATAAACTTTTGAATGAGTTCAGTCTATCCTGTTCTATTCTAAACTTTTAAAAGACAGTGTTGAGACTCAACACAGAGGGTTATGTTTGTGGTACGATAATTTGCACGCGCACATGTGTGTGTGTGTGTGTGTGTGTGTGTGTTAGAGCAAGGCTAGAGTTGGAGTTTTATTTTAAGAAAAGCCAAAAGTTGGAAACAGTCCAGACATGATATTAAGCTTATATTTTATGTATAAATACAAAAATTAAGACATCAACCCTGTTCTATTTTAGTGACAAATAAACCAGTTGTGCATGTGAACATTGGGGTTTTACTTTTAAATTTTATGTTCAAAAAAAATAAAGTCTACCATTTCCTTGGACCTGCATGCCATAGTTGTCAGAATTGACAGATCTGCTGGATTTTACTGGTGATTATGAGATCTTTGCTTTTCTGTGAGGTGGAAAGCTAGGAAATTGCAATGTGATGGCCATGTTTGCCAAAGTGATCGGCCGAGATTGTGTGGGGCTTATCTCCGGGATGATCAGTGGGCCCTCCTACACAGAGCTGGCTTAAAAACACACATCTACTGGTCAGATGTGTTTTAGCTTCAGCCTAACAGCTTTGGGATTACCCCTTCAAGGCTCTGTCACCAGCTTTTGTACAGACAAGGAGCTTTACACAAAACTCCCATTATAATGGTGACTGGGGGGGTGGCTGTTTGGTTGATGGAGTTATTATTGTGTGGGGAACAAATAAAGGCTTTCTTTCTTAAGCATAGCAGTTATGTCTCACTCTCACTAATAATGCCTCATTTTCTCCTAAAACAATATTTACACAGCCTGACATTCTTACTGTCAGTGCAGTGCACTGTCTCTAGTTGAAACGCGTTTTTAATCCTAGAGCTAGACAAATAAATTCAATTCCAAAGAACTGAGTTTCCAACTCTGTTGTATTTCTAACCAGTGAGTACTTTTAGTGGACATATAATAGGCAGGTAGGTGGATGGATGGATGGATGGATGGATGGATGGGTGGATGGATGGATAGATGGATAGATGATGGACAGACAGATGGATGGAATGAAGGATAACTATATGTACACACACACACAGACAGAGAGAGAGAGAGAGACAGGTTTGTTGCTGTGAGGATTGTCTGTTTTCTGAGCATCTCCCCTGTAAGTGCAGTAGACTCACAGTGAGCATCATGACAGACTCTTATAGCCTAGCGGAATTATACTGTCCCTTCCCTTCCTCTCCAGAGAAGGCCAATGGGGATTCTTCAATGGCCGTTGCACTAGGCATGTTATAATGTTATTTCCTAGATTTCCAGTTTATTCCATTTCATTATGTATGGGGGGAGTTGCTAAGACATGCATTTGGAGTCAGAGGACGGCTTGCAGGAGTTGGTTCTCTCCCTTCCATCATGTATGTCCCAGGAACTGAATTCAGGTCTTCAGACTTGGTGGTCGGTGTCACCCACTGGGCCCTTTCTTCCTAAGTCTGTTAAATCAAATGGACTGGAAGGTTTCCGTGCTGGTGGGTAAGAGCGTTCCAGGTGAGCAGTTGCAGCCCTGCTCCTGCGGCTTCTGCGGTCACAGCCACAGGACTCATGAGAGTGACTCCTGGGGGGAAGGGGATGACACCAGGCAGGGCACTTGTTTGTTTATGTGTTTTTTCTTGAATGGAAAACAAGGACCATCCAGAAACAGGAAGATAATGTGAGGTCCCTTCAGTTGTACTAGAGCTATAGTTAAGACTGGCAGCAAATCTGAACTTACTTTCCCTGCACTGGGCAATGAGTACTCTTCGAGTTTGCCAAATCTCACTTTAAATGTAGTTTAAATGTAGTTTCTGCAAGTTCCAATGGGCAGGAGATTTGAATTAGGATATTATAACTTCAACAGGATTCGTTTTAATCAGCTAATTTGGCATTTAGAAAGGACTGCAGGTCATTGTAATTATGCAAGGGACACGTAGTCATTAGCTTCAGCATTCCAAGTTCTCATTAATATCTACCCAGAGGAGAGTTGCATGAAGGGGACTCTGTCACTGTTGCCTGAAAATGAATGGTTTGGGGTGTTTTTTTTTTTGTTTTGTTTTGTTTTACTTGAAATTGAAGCTTGTATTCCATCGTTGCTGCCTCCTGAATTGGGGTAAATACTGGGTTCCAGACAGCAGTTCACTTAGGTGTCAGGGCCCTGAATGTCTCCCGCATGTGTGAGGAATCAAAGCATTTGAATCCCAATGATCCAACTCAGCCACACTGAAAGATCTGTGGCAAGGTTAGTCTGTGATAATGGTAATGATGACGATGATAATGATGATGGTTCTGATAATGGTGATGATGATGATGATGGTGATGATGCTGATGGTAATGATGGTGGTGCTGATGGTGCTGATGGTGATGATGGTGGTGCTGCTGCTGCTGATGGTGATGATGATGATAGTGATGATGATGGTGATGATAGTGATGATGATGATGATGGTGCTGATGGTGATGATGGTGATGGTAATGATGGTGGTGCTGATGGTGATGATGCTGATGGTAATGATGGTGGTGCTGATGGTGCTGATGGTGGTGCTGATGGTGATGATGGTGGTACTGCTGCTGCTGCTGATGGTGATGATGATGATGGTAATGATGGTGGTGCTGATGGTGATGATGGTGCTGATGATGATAGTGATGATGATGGTGATGGTGCTGATGATAGTGATGATGATAGTGATGGTGATGATGATGATGATGATGATGATGATGGTGGTGGTGATGATGGTGATGGTGATAATGGTTAGTAATGTTAACAATGAGCTGGAGAGATGGCTCAGAGTTAAGAGCACTTGTTCTTCCAGAGGAACTGAGTTTGATTCCTAGCATCTGCATCCATGTTACAGCTGTCTATAATCCTCAATCCAGGGATCCTCTGACCCCCCTGTGGGTACACACACTCACATGCAGACCTACACACCTACACACACAAACCCCTACACATAATTTAGGCCCTGGAAACTCACTACCCAAACAGCTCCCTCCATTTGGCCCCCATTAGCATTGCCACTTTGGTGAGTAGAGCGTGAATGGCTAAGCTTGCGGCCTCTTGGTAGACTGAGGATATGCCACTGGCCTTTGTCACAAGCCTTGTGCCAAGCATAACTTTGCGCTCCACCATGCTGAGGTGCTGTTCCAAGTTTTCCTTTCCCTGCTGTGTGTGCTGAGAGCGCACAGCCATACTTCAATACTGAGACCTGCTTCTTTCCATTGGAAGGTTTTAAGATCCTATGTTTAGGAGTCTTGGGCTTTTTTATTATTATTATTATCATTATTTTCCTGATTTCAGTCCCTTTGTTTAGAATCTACTTTAGGTTTATAGTTTCCAGTTAATGTTTTGTTCATATATACCCAAGGTCATGAAAGCACTATGACCTTCAGCCTCGCCCTTTTATTGCCTACTACCTACTGCCATGTGACCCCAAGACCAGGTGGTAACCTGGGCACCAGTCAGTTGCTAGTGCCTTGCTAATCTCTGCAAGTTGATCCATTTGCTAGGGGCCACAACTGTCTTCTTT